TATCTTTTTTTTCCTTAAGCATTTTATTGTCTCAAATTTTCTTTGTTGCTAATTTCTCTTTTGAGGAGTTGTTCCATTTTACTTTGTTTTTTTTACATTATTTTGACATTGCCTAATCCTTTACATTCTTTTTTCTCGCATTTACAATATTTCTATAATTGGTCTTCTCTGTCCCCTCGCCCAGCCAGTGTTACTCATTTTAAAACATTTAAATGGATATGTGGAAAGAATTGGCAAGTAGGATTAATAAAAATAACTGACTTAAAACATCAGAAACAGCAGTAGCATTAAAATATTATTAAATTAATTTCTAGAAAACACACAGTTACTAATCGTGTGAAGTGCTTTAAGATTTTCTCCCAATGTGAATGTAAGGATTATTATTAATTGATATCTAAATGGTCTCTTTCTGGGTGAAATTAGTGGCCTTTCATAATGTGTTAGTTGCAAGAATTATAACGTTGAACACCTCTTGAAATGCTACTAACTTTGCCCTGTTTCTATTTCCAACATTTCATGAAAAGAATGCTCTTTTGGAGCTGTTGCTGGGGAGAGTGAATGAGAACCCTGAACTGTGACATTTGACTTGTGGACCAAGTGCTCCTTCAACTACACTCCTGTAGTTGAGTGGAGTCCTGTATCTCAGTGATTAGAGCATTCGCCTTGCAAGTGAGAGACCTGGGTTCGATTCCCGACAGTGCAAAACCTTGGACAAGTTTCCTTACTCCACACACCTCTGTTTACCTAGCAGTAAGTACAAACCCAGTTATAGTGGATTGGTTGTTATCGCTTTTCCGAGAGTAATAATTCCTTAAAAAAAATTAGTCACTCAATCCATGACTGTGTGTGGGACACTGCTGTGTGCAAATTGGCCTTCGCGTTTTGCCCACAAAATATACAGACAATTCACTTTACAGTATATTCTGTGAAGCACTTTGAAATGCCTCGGAGACATGATAAGGTTCTATATCAAATGCAAGGATTATTATTATTATTACAGTAAAAGCAATCTAACCAACATTGGTAATGGACATGGAGCAAACCTTATTAAGTGATATACTAACTGCTCCCTCTGAAATTCTATAATAATAATCCTTGGGTTTGATATAGCGCCTCATCACTTAATTGATATGTTACAAAGCACTTCACGGAACATACTACAAAGTGAATGGACTGCATGTTTTGTAGGCACTGCAGTGTCTCACAAACAGAACTGGATTGAGTGACGAATAACAGAAGGGTATGGGAGGAAGAAATTAGTGCTTTGGAGAATCATGAGGCATGGACTTGTTAGCCCAAATGGCCCATTTCTGTGCTGTACATTCATGTAAATTAAGTAAAACAATTAGGACATCAGTGGCTTAACCCAATGTAATTAAAATTGTGCAATCAGCCCTTCAGAGGCCTGACATTTCTTAAAACTGTTGACTTAAAATTGAATATTCTTAACTTCAGTTTTTAATTTAGAAAACAGTTTTCCACAGTTTTAAAATTGGAAATCTTTCAAATTATGACTGAATTGAAGAATTCTCCTAAATTCTGTACATTCTAAATATTTAAGCCAGTGGTCCAAAGGCAAAGAGCAGCAGAATTTTCAGGTCTTTAGTTACTTGATCAATAATTCTGTGCAGAGATAGAAGGATAGCTGTAGATCCCAAGATTGGTTTGGATGAAGAGACCCTTCAGCCCATCCGATCTCAACCTCCCAAAATATCCACCTACCATCATGGGGTGGGGGGGGGGGGGGGCTTTTAAACGTAGCAGCAGTCTAGTTAACACATTCTTCTCCAGATTTAAGCAAACAAGAACAGACACTGCTCCTATACCTCCAATCGCAGAAATAAATCTCTCACTTTGTCAATAACGTTTCAGCTCTTAATACTCAGCAATATTCATCAGCCTTCATTTTAATGGAGAACAGTAAATAATACCATTAGTGTTTTGACAAACAGTTAAGTACTTCTATTGCGCATATACTATTGAACTATATTTATTTTCTGCAACATTATACAATAATAGATTTTAACAACCTAGACTTTGTTTTATGATAGTAATGTGACGCTCCATCCTGTACTGCCTGGAGTCTGCGATTTTTGATGGAGATTCTGTGTCTGCAGAAAACTGAGCCAATTGCATATTATTCCCATCTACTCGGGGAACATTTGATCTTTTCAGTCCTCACAATCTTCAATGATCTGTTAACCTTAAGACATCAGACATTGCCTTTTTAGTACTAACCTGAAGGCACTTGATCATTTTAAACACAGCCACTATGTATGTGAGAGGTCACCCAAATGTCAGCACTTACTTTTTTTCCTGTATTTCCTCTTTACCTTCACACATCATGCCACGCCTGGTGAATTTTCACAGGGACTGGCTGTTTTCTCATATCTCATTAAGTTCATAGAATTATACAGCACAGAAGGAGGCCATTCGGCCAATCATCTGTGTCGGCTCTTTTAAAAGAGCTATCCAATTCATTGCCAGTCCCATGTTCTTTCCCCAAAGCCCTGCAAACTTGCCCTCCCCATGTTTGGGTGTGAGTATCAGTAAACTGTGACTATCAGACCTGGACACAAACCTCAGTGTCTGGTTCGATCCTCAGCTCTCCTTGCTATCTGATAGTTGGTCCCCGATCAAGACTGCTTATTTCCCCTCATCTGATTGTCTATCAGACCTCATACCAAAAGTCGCTGAAACGCTTATCCACACTTTTGTCACTTCCTACCTTGATTTTTCAAATGCACTTCTGTTTTCTCCAGTTCCACCATTCACAAGATTCATCTAATAAAAATCACCCCCACCCCTATCCTCATTCACACCAAGCTTGACACACCCATCACCCCCAATCCTTGCCTGGCTCCACTTGCTCACCATCTCTAAATGGTTTGATTTCAAGGTCCTTACCCTCACATAGAAATCCTTTCATGCCCTAACATTCCCCATCTCTCTGATCTATTCCATCTACTCAGGTGAATCCCATCTATGTTCTGGACAAAACGTGGTCACCAATTGCCCACAGCAGTGTCCCACAAACACTCATGGATTAATTGACCAAATAATAATAATTTTTTTTGAAGGAATTATTGCTCCTGGAAAAGCAATCTGCCAATCGACTAACAACTAGATTCCTATTTACTGCTAGGTAAATAGAGGTGTGTGGAGTAAAGAAATTTGCGTAACGTTTCGCCCTGCCTGAGAATATAATTCAAGTCCTCTCGCGTGTGAGGCGAGTGCTCTTACCAATGTGTTACAGGAATCCACTTTAAATCTCACTTTACAAGCCACCTTTTCAACTACTTTATGGTCATCTCCCCTTTCCCCTTCTCCTATGCCTGGCATCCTACCCTGTCACTGTAGAGCACCCTGCACGCCACACCCCCGCCCGCCACTCCCCCACACACCCCGCACCCCACCCCCATGATGTTACCCTATGAAATATTCTATATAAATGCAAGATGCTGTTGTTCTTGTGCAGGCAATCCTAATCCTGTGCTTATTCTGGCAGCTAAACAGAAATACTTTCCAACATGAAAATCAGGAACAGGAACCCTGGCTGACTCATTCTCCTCCCTTCCCCAGCCCAGAAATGCCTCGCTAGCCCAACAGGACTGCAATCAGACAAATTAACGACAGAGCGGAACCTCTTGTTAATTCTATGCAGTAAAATCCAGCACAAAATCACTTAGATTTGTGACAGTTCTGAGTACAGATTGCAAATCTCCCACATGTATCGAGAATTGTCATATAATGTGAATGTTTTGTAGTTACCTTATTTTATTACAAATGGGTATATTTAGCATCCATAACGTTACGAACTATTGTTGGTAATATCTCCTACAATGATTGTTTTAAAATCTCTGCAAATTGAGTGTTGTGAAAATTGCTTCCAATGTGCAATATTCTGCTAACCAGGAATTCTTACAGCCTTATGCAATACAGTATTTGGAAATCAGCCTGGATCAGTTGCTAGCACTCTCATGTTGTATAGAAGATTGTTGGTTCAAGCCAAAACCTTTCATATGTTGGGACTTTGAGCTCACAGCTGACAGTTTAATGCTCCATTGTCGTGAATACCATTCCTCCAATAAAGAATTAAATCAAGCTTCCTTCTGCCTCTTAAGATGGACATTAAACAACCAAAAGCACTATTTGAAAAGAGAAGGGAGTTTCTCCTGCGTCCTTGCTAGCAATCCCTCAAATAAAAAGTTGTCATTCACTTCATGGCTTTTTGTGGAATGCTGCTTTGACATGCTGGTTGCCTTGTTTGCCTACAAATATACAGTCGCTAATCTTGACAATAAATCCTGGGAAGCATTTGAGACATCCTCCCAGTGTGAAAGGCAGTATGTCAAATGCAAAGATTATATTATTATTACAAATTTACACCTCGCAGTAAATCCTATGAAATGCTTTGAGATGTTTTGTCGATATAACAAGGGTTATTATTTTAATATTTATAAAAGAATATTGATTCAATAAAATGAAACTATGATGCCCTGAGTATGTTTGTTCAGTATTTTATAGATACACCTGTACGTGTGTCAGCATGTCTGTTCTCCACTTCTGATTTCAAGCAGTTTTACAATAATCATACTTTCATTTGATATAACAACTCTTCACATTCTCAAAGTGTTTTAGAAAATGTACTGTAAGGTGGGTTGTGACTATAAATTGTAGGTAAATGCAGCAGCCAATTTGTGCACAGCAATATTCCATAAATAATCATGAAGTGAATGATCAATTTTATCTAAGGGTTTGGTGACAAGGTATCATGAGAAAATTCCTTTCTCTTTATGGCTAGTGTCATGGGATCTTTTACGTGCACCTGAACAGGCAGATGGGATCTCAGTTTAATGTCTCATTTGAAGGACAACACCTGGGACTAGACATCCTTCCCCAAACACTGTACTGCGTGTCAGCCTAGACTGAATGCAAGCTGTTTATTTACAATCTATCCAGTTCTCAGTAATTAATTGAAATCTCCTTTGGTTTCTCAGATCTTTACATTTGGTTGGCGGGAAGATATACGACCTGGAGAACCTCTTCACACTAGGAAGTTCTGCTTTGATGCCATTTCCCATAGCAGCTCTGTCACACTGTATGACTGCCACGGCATGAAAGGGAATCAGTACTGGCGCTATCGGAAGGTAAGCAACATTGCAAGTGGATCTTGATACATCTTCAGTGATCCAAAAGTTCTCATGTTCTTAGCTTTAAGATTATGAGAGGATAAATTATTACTACTAATAAGTAATAATTAATTTCACCTGGGTCTAGATTTACTTTAATTTCTTAGCATTTCAGAGCATACAGAATTTGGCAAATTGTTGAATTCAACTTTACCTTCAAAATTAAGATCATATTTAACAATTTGCCAAATGTTGGACATTCTGAAATACAAATAAAATCGGGTGAATTTAGATCCAGGTGGAATTCCCACCCAATTAGATTTTAGTTCAGAAGACAGTCTTAAATTTGGACATTTTAGAAGTTGAGTTTCCACAGAGCTGAAAAAGAACTGGCTTCCAAATTAAGACGCACTTTAAAATTGTTTTCCAAAAAACCTAATAATCTTACATTTGCTTCCAGGCCCAGGATCACTCAGACTATACATGACTTGAATCTCACACAAAGCCCGAACCCAATCCACATTACAAGGGCTCTGAGGCACTGACCTGCATGAAGGACACCATATATATGCAAGTTGTTGCTGTTGTACAATATTTTGTCTGCTACAAGAAAAAAACATGCCATTGAAGTCTGGCTTGAAGATAATGACAAATTCCATTTATATAGCACCTTTCACGTGGGAAGGATGTCCTTAGGCCCAGGACAATTAAGGATTTGCACTCGAGCTGGGGATTGGAATCAAGAGGGTTGGAGGATAGAGAGATGGGAGTCTTGAGATGTACCTTGAAGGGGGCGAGGGAAGGGGTGAGCTGGAGAGGTTTAGAGATGGATTTCCAGAGGGTGAGGGCAGACAAGGTGAAGGCTGTTATTTTAAAGCAAACCAAAGATTGTGTTTAATGTAACAATCGGTGTGGGGGGGGGACTTTTTAAATTTATACATATATATAACAAAGAGATTGCAATATTTTTGAACACTTCAACCAGATTTTTCTTATCAATGTCTGTTCATGTTGCAAACAAATCGAAAAAACATAACCAGTTTAAGAAGAGATTACATTTGAATCTTAGTTTAATTTAGAAAACCTTTAATATAGCTGGAACTTCTGATTTTTGGTTTTAACCTATAAAAAATAATGAAACACTCCTAATACAAAAAGATGAAATTGTTGTTTATCCAATAAACATCAAAAAACACAGTAAATGGTTAACTGTCCTGACACCAGTTATGCGTGTGTTACCCTCACTCTCTGTCTCTTCCTCACCGCTAAATATTTGCAAGTGTGTCTCGTGACGCATTTGTGAGAGGAAGTGTGAGGTACCTCTCTGTCCTGGATTGATGGGCAGTGAATGGAATCCACTTTGTAATTATGCTATAACCGAACTTAATAATAATAATAATAATAATCCTTGCATTTGATATAGCGCTTTTCACGTCGGGAGGACGTCCCAAAGCGCTTCACAGAACACACTGTAAAGTGAATTGACTGTATATTTGTGGGCGAACGCGGCAGCCAATTGCGCACAGCAATGTCCCACAAACAGTCGTAGATTGAAAATGACCAATTTATTATTGTTTTGTTTTTTTGGAGGGATTATTATTAGGCGTGTGGAGTAAAGAAGCGTGTTGTAATGAGATTATACTGTAGATCGGCATGGTCCAACAGGCGGCCCACAGGCCACATCTGGCCCGGTGGATGATTTCATGTAGCCCAAGATAATTTCCAACTTGGGGCTGCTCGCTTCCTCTCAGGTGATTGTCCTCTCAATGGCAGCGGCAGGAGATTTTTTTTTGGTCAGCCGGGTGTCTGACACAAACAGGAACTCATCCCCATGCTTAAGAATATCCAAACCAAGTTGAGAATTCCATCCCTCCCACCTACATGTGGAAATCCCGGAGATAGATTGTTGGAACGGAATGCATCCTGTTTACCTAATTCCGGAAAGTATTAAGCGCAGGTTGGCAAGAGCCAAGGCTTGCATATCCCAGAGTGTGTGTTGGGGTACTGCTGGCATCTAAGCTTTCACGCTGCTTGTCCAGCTAGAACCACCCTACGCATTAGGGTTTTGCTTGCAGAGTTAACCTGGAAGGGCAGACCTGCCCTGAGTGACTGGTCTGCCCTTCCAGGTACTGCCGATGAGCCAGGCTGGCTGTGCTGTCATAAGCAGTGACCTGGAATAATGCGGACCCACCTGGATCAGGAACTGGACTACCGAGACCGCCACAGAGGGCTGGCTCGATTCCAGCATTCCGTTGCCAGGTATGTCACTGTGGAGCCAGTGATTGCGAGTGGGGGAAAGGGGGAAGAGAGTGTGTGGGAGAGAGGGTGTGAGAAGAGGGATGTGGGGAGAGAAGCAAAAAAGTGAGACAGTGGAGAGAGAGAGAGAGCGAATGAGGAGAATTGAGGGCAGCTTTTTGAGGTTCACTGTCAGGACAGACAATTGGATTTTCCCTTAACCACCGTGAGGGGGGCAACTGAGGGCAGACAACCAGCGCCATGCTGTGCAATTTCCTTGCAGTATACTCCCTCTTTCCCCAGTGAGAAACTCCTCTAGTCCTTCATTAGTGCCCCCATCCCCACCCTACCTCTGTGAACGCCTGACCCAGCCATTCCCATTTCCTAGCAAACACCAGCTTGCTTCATGTCCCCTCACCCCATCTGCCCCACCATCGCCATTTTTCTCCCGCTCTCTGGACTTCCATTCCTGGAGTCCCTCCGACTCCCTCCCTCCCCTATTTCAAGACCTAACTCTTTGACCGTGCTTTTGGTCATCTTTTCCCCATCCTACCTCCCTCAGCTCCCACCCCTAGCTCAGGTGCCCAGCCGGCAGAGTCGAGTGCTTTGAGACATCCTTTTAACATGAAAAGGGTGCTGTGTATATGTTTTTATGTTTCTGGAAGGCAAATACAAAATACTGCTTATGCGGCCTGCGGACATTTCTCAAATAGGGATTTCGGCAGCCAAAAGGTTGAACCACTTTATATTTTTGCCCACTGAAAAACTCAACAACAACAACGACAACTTGGATTTATATAGCGCCCTCCATGCCGGACGGTGTCTCAAAGCACTTCACAGTAACGGATCCCGGGACCGAGCCAGGGAGAGGGGGAGGAAGGTGATCAAAGGCGCGGTCGAAAAGAAAGGCCTTCAGCAGAGACCTGAAAATAGGGAGCGGGAGCGAGACAAAGGGAGTGAGGAAGGGAATTCCAGAGTCTTGGGGCATAGTGGCTGAAGACATGGCCGCTGAGGGTGGAGCGGAGGATTCGGGGGACAAGGAGGAGGCCAGACTCGGAGGAACAAAGGCAACGGGTACTGTTTTGAGGAGAGAGTAAGTTAGAAAAGAAGGGGAGTGCAGAGGAGTGCAGGGACTTGAATACAAGAGTGAGGATCTTGAAGTCGATCTTCTCTGGGATAGGCAGCCAGTGCAGTCTGGCAAGGACTGGGGTTATTTGGGGAGCGGAGTTTGGTGCGGGTGAGAATGTGGGCGGCAGAGTTTTGAATGATCTGGATTTTATGGATGGTAGTGGATGGGAGACCAGCGAGGAGGGCATTTGAATAGTCCAGCCGAGAGGTGATAAAGGCATGGACCAGGGTTTCAGTGGCTTTCGGAGAGAGGTATTGGCGGAGACGAACAATGCATCGGAGGTGGAAGAAAGCGGTGCTGGTGAGGGACCGGATGTGGGGGAGGAAGGATAATTGGGGGTCGAACCTGACGCCTAGGTCGCATACGGGTTCGGAGGGTTTTAGTGGGTGGTCGGGTAGGTGGAGGAGGTGAGAGCCGTGAGATTTTAGACGTTGACGAGAGCCAAAGAGTATGGCTTCCGTCTTGTCAATGTTCAGCTGAAGGAAATTTGTGCACATCCAGCCCCTGAGATCTGACAGGCAGGCTGACAGAACAGCAGAGGACTGGGGGTCGCAAAGAGAGGTGGAAAAATAGAGTTGGGTGTCGTCCGCGTACATGTGGAAATGTACCCCATGTCTGCGGATGACATCCCCAAGAGGGAGCACGTAGATCAGAAAGAGGAGGGGGCCAAGGATGGATCCTTGGGGTACACCGCAGGTAACCGGGTGAGAGCGGGAGGAGAAGCCGTTTGTTCTGATGTACTGCTGGCAGTTTGTAAGGTAGGACTCGAACCAGGCAAGTGCGGTCCCACTGAGGTGGATGACGGAGGAAAGGCGGTGGAGGAGGATGGCGTGATCGAACTCCGCGGAGAGGTCAAGGAGGCAGAGGGAGCCCTGGTCACAGATAGAGAGGATGTCGTTTGTGACTTTCAAAGCGCAGTCTCTGTACTGTGGGCGGAAACCAGATTGGAGGGGTTCGAAGAGGGAGTGGGAGGAGAGGTGTGCGCGAAGTTGATTGGCAACAACTCTTGCTAACTAGACAAGTTAATAAAACATTAATTTATTCCACGTGAGACGTTCTGTGCCTTGTAACATGTTGTATGACTACAATCAACCAAACTATAGTAAGTTACAACAGTACAAAACAATTAACAGTCATTTCAGAAAAACTTTCTTCACAGTTGAAAGCATTTCATGAATTATGCAACAAAATATTCCTGCAGATATTTGCATAAAGTGCATTCTGATAAATTCTAAACAGGATCCTGACAAGCAGGTTATTGTGGTAATGGACTTTATTGTATTACTGGCAGCAGTTGTTCATCTTTGTAGATGTTTCTGCCTAATTTTTTAGGACAAGAGCCTCTATCATCCTGTGAGCAACAGCTGCATGGACTGCAACTTAGCTGACAAGAAGATTTTCATGAACAGATGTAACCCTTCAGTGCATACCCAGCAGTGGATTTTTGAACATGTTAATGTGACTGTTCTTGAAAAATTCAACAATGATTCCACTTCATAAGGACTCCTTTATTACAGTGGAATAAATCGTGCACACAGCATTGGTCCTTTGACAGGAATTGTTGGCATCTGGATCAGTCAATTCAGGTGTTAAATTTCATAGCTACAGTGGGCTTAATCTCAGGATCAGTAACAACCGTAGCTGAAGTCAAGAATGCAACTGAGGCACTTTGCAAAAGAACTTCACCACCAGCTGTCGCAAGAAAACAAAACGTGAAACTGAAGCAGACTTGGGAATGCCTTGCTGGTCAAGAGCAATTAAAATTAAAATGTAGGGCAGCAAATCAAAATGGAATCAAAATGGAATTCTGTAGATTCCCAGTCAGTCCAACCTGTCGATCTCTGAGGGGATGCTAATTGCACTTTTGTTTTAGAGCAGGCCACCTGTTTGACATGTTGGCAGAAGACTGCGTGGCTGATGCCAATTCAAATCTTTGACTCGAATGGGATGACAGCCCAGGTTTAATGATGCACAGAGCTTTTTGATCCTGTTTTGGACGTTGTGAAAAAAATTGTCTTTTTTTCCTCCCTTTTTTGTATTAATTAAATTTGAAAAACAATTCTGTGAGTTTTTCATTAGAAGTTTGTGTGTGATGCGAATTCTGGGGATTGCAGTAAATGTTTATTTACAAATCTGCTTTATCGATTTCATTTTCCACATAACACAGAAAATAATGAATATTTCAGCCCAAGAGGAAAATAATGTTTCTGAGAAACATTTCTGATTTTTACTAAAAGAACCAATTTATTACAATTATATTGTAATATATGATACATATAAACTTTCCTGAAGTACTGATTGCAGATTATTTCTCAATAAATTTTCATTAATCGTTTTGTTTGAATGTCATTACAAACAAAGGATGTGGTGCACAATTTCCATCAAAGCACAATTTGGAAAGGAAACCTGATGATAAATTGATATACAAAATTTATAGAGTGAACACACTGCATATAATGAAAGTCAATATTGCAGGCCGAATCTATTATATTTTCAGGTGGTGTAGAAAACAACCGAGCCAGGCAGCAGGATTTCAGGTGGTATGTGAGGCATGTAAGGCATAGCCTAGGGTTGCGACAGAGTTGAACAGGTGGTATGGAAGGCTTAGCAGGCAGCAAGATAGCAGAGACCAAATACAATGTGCAGCCTTTCTTGAAAGACAATCAAGTGTCTCGAACTGTACGTTCATACTATATATAGAAACCTTCTCAAGAAAATGATAATCTTTGCATTCGATATAGCATCTTTCACAGCAGAATGGCTCAAAGGGCTTCATAGAATTTACTGTCAAGGTAGTGACTATGTATTTTTGTGGCAGCTAATTTGCACACAGCAATGACAAACAACCGTGAAGTGATCAATTTCCACTGTGGGGGATTATTGGCTAGGACACCAGGAGAAACTTCCTTCTCTTTTTCGAATAGTGACATGGGATCTTTAACATACCTGAACAGACAGACAGAATCTTGGTTTAATGTGTCATCAAAAAGACTGCACCTCTGACAATACAGCACTCCTCCAGCACTGCGGCAGTTGCCACTCCCCCCAGCCAGCATGGACCTTGAACAACAACAGCAACATTACATTTGTATAGCACCTTTCACGTCGGGAGGACGTCCCAAGGCGCTGGAAAGTCAGTGTTTCAGACCCGAGCTGGGAGTCAAGAATGGGGACGGTAGAGGGCAGGGGGGGCAAGCAGAGAGATCAAAAACATGGTTGAAGAGGAGGGTCTTGAGATGGGTCTTAGAAGGATGCAAGAGAGATGGTGAGGCAGAGGCGGGATGGAGCTGCAGAGGAAGGGTGAACCCACAATCTTATGACTCAGAGGCAAGAGCACTACCAAATGTGCCTCACTGGTAGCAAAATATTGGAAATGATCATCCGTAAGCAATATTACTATAAAATAATATTTGATGAGTTTTGGAGATTTGATCTTTGTGTAATATGTAAGGATTCAGGTGAACTAAACAAAAACAACAAGAACTTGCATTGACATAGCACCCCTCATGCAGGGTAATGTCCCAGAGAGCTTGACAGTGGAGGAGCACAACGCCAAGCCGGGAGGAGATGGGAGGTGACCGTAAGCACAGTCGAAGAAGAAGATCAGCCACGGGAAAGTATTGAGGACATAGTGACTAAAAACTGAGGTAAGCCTGAAGCAGGGACCGCTGTCCTGTAAATAAAAGTAATTTCAAGACATTATCTAAATTGCTTGATAAGAATACTGGTTTGTTATAACTCCAAATATCTATTATTCTCTAAATAATAAGTCACTATATCAAATGCAAGGATTATTATTATTAATAAAGAACCAGCCACAGTGTAACACTAGCTGATCAATTGGTTACATCAGCTATGTTCCTACGTAATTAAATGGCAGAACAGTCTCAAAGGGCTGAATGGCCTACTCCTGTTCCTATGTTCCTATGTAAGGCATCTGAAATGGTGGATCAAATTTGAACTGCAAAGTCATTTTATCCTAACCATGTACATTCCAAAGGCCTCTTGCCTTGTTATAAACTTTCCATAATTCTAGTCCTGTTTGAGACTGTTCTGTTTCCTTGATTAAAACAGTACAGCCGCAAGCCTATTCTCTGTTAGGCATGATTCCAAGGTCTGCTGGCCTCTACCAGGCCTAAGCCTTGAGCCTTTATTATCATTCTTTGTCTGTCAGGAAGAACCCCTAGCCTGTTCCAGGATCGGCTGTTCCCATTCCTCTAGCTTCACAGCTTTGGAGTCAACTGATTACTTATTTGATAAATAATAATCCCTCCAAAACAAAACAGTAATAAATTGGTCATTTACAATCCACGACTATATGTGGAACACTGCTGTGCGCAATTGGCTGCCGCGTTTCGCCCACAAATATACGGTCAATTCACTTTACAGTATATTCTGTGAAGCACTTTGAGACGTCGAGAAGCTGTGAAAAGTGCTATATCAAATGCAAGGATTATTATTATTATTATTGATGCTTTCACTTCATTCCCTTAATCCTTCTCAATTACAGATAGAGCCTCTTTAAAGAGATATGAGCACCAGATACAACTTGTATTTATATAGCACCCTACATGCAGGGTAATAATATAATATAATAATAATAATCCTTGCATTTGGTATTGTGCCTTTCATTTCAAGAAGACATATCAAAGCCCTGCACCTGATCAGTTTGATTGGTCAAGGTGATTCATTACAATTTTGAGTTCACTTGATTATTATGCTGTTAACATTCCCAATGAAGTTAACATGGTAAATTTAGTAAATTACTATTATTCATTTTTGTATACAAGTGTCCTCTTACCATATATCTTATAAACATGACAGAGAAGGGAATAGAGGGTATGGGAGAATGATGAGGAAGAGTGCAAGGTCATATGGAGTATAAATATAGGCATGCACTAGTTGGGCCAAATGGTTTATTTCCATGATGTAAAGTTTTATGTAATTCTATATATCTTGTTGGTTTGATGGCTCAGGAGATTGCTTGTAGCTTCCAGCACTGCTGACTTCTTAAGAAGATGTGTTACTACTCACCAGCTGATGGGATGATGTCTACTTTCAGGTGAAGTCACGCCCCTAAGGGAACAAGACTTAACATAACTGAGTTGTCAGTTTCGAGCAGTCAACGTTCACCTGTTGTACCTTCGCAAAGCGTGGGGGAAAAAGTAAAAACACCTTCCAATGACAAAGATTTTTATCATCATATCCACACACTTAATGTTTCCAACAAACTCAATTGGGTAGAAATTTTAATAACTTTTGCTTACAGCGCCTTATCATGCCATCAGAATGTCTCAAAGAGCTTGCTGGTGTTTACTGTCGAGTGTAGTGATTATACTTGTAGGTGATTGTGGCAGCCAGTTTGCGCACCGCAATGTCCCACAGATAGCCATGAAGTGATGAGAATTTTACCTGGGGCATGGTTGGTCAGGACACCGTGATGAATTTCCTTCTCTTTTTAAGCTTATAGAAATTGCTTAGGGTAATTGATACAAGTCATAATGTGATAATAATCCTTGCCCTTATCACATCAAATATAGCACCGTGTCACATCAAAACATATCAGAATTTTCTATAGTGTAGTGACTGTAAATTTGTAGAAAGACACAGCAATATCTCTGCCAGAAAGTGTATAACCAATTTGACTTGAGAATTGTTGGCTGGGACACTTGGAGAAACTTGTTTCTCTTTTCAAATAGTCCCATACTATTTCAAATGCTTTAACATCCACCTGAGCAGGCAACAGGACATTAGTTTAATTTCATCTGAAGGATAATTCAGTGCTCCTCTAGAACTCCGCTGGAGTAGCAACTTAGATTATAAACTCAAAGGTCTGACGTGGGGCTTGAACCCATAGCTTTCTGACTAAGAGGTGAGAGTGCGATCAATTGAGTCAGGCTGTACATAAAATGCCCTAAGACCATGATGGTATTGGTTTGGATCTAAATTTAATCATCTGGGACCTCTCAAGATATTACAAGTCTTATAAAGAAAGTGTTAAAGAAAACAGATGATGCTGCTAATGTTACCAGGGAGGTATTGTTTCTTGGTAATTTTTCTGTCAAGCATAGAGATGAACTCATTACTTTGCCACAGTTCTTTTTTGGGACAGCAAAATGGACCATGAACATGTAAGATCATATAGGGAGCCCATGTTACCAGTATTTGAGCATGGATTATCACTGCAATGTTTACATGAGTAGTCATCCAATTGCTTTATAATTGTGTTGTTTTGATGTAGCAAAGTTTTACTCCAGGCTACAATTTCAAATGTAATTATTTTGGCAAACTCATGAATATTCAAGAAGAAAAACAACGAATAGTAGGTCATTTGCAAGATTGGCATAAAATTAATTAATCCTGACCTACCAGATGTGTTTTAAATCGACCTTCTATTGTCCCAATCTTCACTAATCTCCTGCCTCTTTTGGCTATCATCTAACTTCATGGAAACTTCATCCAAGTGTAATTCCAATGGATCAGCACCCGAGCAGAGTTCAAGCAGAGCAGCCTGAGATGCATCTGGGGATATTTGTCTTTTCTAAATCTTTTTACAAATCTTGCTAATTACTCTCTTTACCTACCTTCTGGCAGGTAATCCTTACTCAAACTATAGGCCTCCTTCACATACTGTTGGGTTAACTGCACCATCCATTTTGGACACAGACAAAATTCCCATATGGGAGAGGAAAGATCAAATGTTTTAAAGAGGCATGTGATGATTTCAAGATGGCAAAAGCGGGGCCAAATTAAAAAATTAACTAAGCCATGGTTTAGGGCCAAGAGATTTGATGGATATGAATATTGTGTTGAAAAATTAGCCATGCATATTATTAGATGACCTAAAATTAATATAATTACATAATTTGTAAAACAGTAGTAAAACAGTAAAACAGTCAGAGCAGGCCTGAGTCAGACATATATTCATTAGCTTGTATGTCATTGGAACCGACAACCTTAAAATGATTGGGAAAAGCACATGGAGCTGGTGTTCTTGTGACATTTTGTCTTGGTAACGGTAGGTAAATCAGCTTTTCACTTTTATCATGTCATTTGCAATTTTACATATTTGAAATGACGTGCTATGTTATGTCTTGTTATAAGTATTTTTAAATATATTAAAATAAAATCTCATATTAAACAACATGTGTCTGTCATTCACAAAAAGCTTGTGTTGCATATGT